GCCAAAAACTAGACTTTCGTATGAGTTTTGATCCCAATTTTTGTTTTGGGTTAACACTCAAAACCTTTTTTAAACAGAAACTGATGTACTATGATAAAATGCCTGTTTGAAGCGGTATTTTCAATTGTACAAAGATGTTTTGTTGCATTTGTGTTAGAATGTTGGTTTGTCAAGCTATTTTTTATAGAAAATATATGGGAAATAAGCAAATGAAGGCCTAAACCTCATTTTTGAATAAACGTTTTGCTTTGGGTTAGTACTTTGATTCCACTTTCATCGATCATCTCCACTTCCGAACAAGTTAAACTTTCTGAATAACACGATTTTAGCCTTGTACAACAGCCTTTCTTCAGGAAAATTGTTTTTGGCGCTCACTGCTCGAATACGAAAAGAATTCTCTCTTGATAAATTAATACAGAATGAATGCATAAAACATGAGTAAATAAGTGATTGCATCAATTGATTAATAGATAAATGATAAATAGATAAATGAAGAAATAGATCAATAGATGGATAATTAATTTTTAAAAATACCAATAGTTTTAAACCAGTGGGAAAAAATTGTATTTATTCTTACCTTTTCTTCCTGTGTTTTGGGTATTAAATTGTTGTGTTTTGATTTTCAGAATATACAGAAAAACTGAAGTCATCCATTAAACAACAAACCGATTTTCTGTTGTTAGAGGAAGAGGACAAGAAAATTAGAACCGATGACATCTTTACGAGTGTGACTATCCAACGCGGTCCAAAACACTTCGAGGAACCCAAAGAAAGGAGATTTGGCAGGAGGCAATTGGATGAAGTTCAAGCAAGTAGTAAAAAACTAACAAACTGTTCAGAAATGTTTCTTTGCCCGGAAAATGATGATCAGAAATCTGCAGCTTTTTGCACGACCAATCCTAAATCTATCTTGTTGACGGGCAAAGCAGGAATTGGGAAATCCCTCTTTTGTCGTAAGCTGGTACGGGATTGGTTGCATAACCGATTGTTTGAGGAAGGTCAAGAAAATGCCAAAGTACCTGATTTTCAGTTTGTGTTCCTGTTGACATTCAGTCAACTTCTTCTTCYAGAAGAAGAACAAAAAATGGTTGACTTACGTGATATCTTACATCAGTCCTCCCTACTGAACGAGCACTCGGTGATAGACGAGCCATTAATGCAGTACATGATTGAAAATCCTGAGAAGCTGCTCATCATACTCGATGGGTATGATGAGTATAAACATCGAGAGAGAATCACCGGGGACTTTGAGACAAGATATTCAAACGACCCAGATAAAAAAATACCTGTTCCTGCTCTGATTGCCAAAATCATGGAAGGAAAGATGTTAAACGGTGCAGTGGTCCTGATATCCTCGAGGCCTGGCGAAGCCGAGGAATTAAAAAAACATGTCTTTGATGTGAGATGTGACATTCAAGGATTTTCTTCACTTCAAGTGCTAGAATACATCAAAAAATATTTTAAAGCCAACGAAAGCATGAAGAACAAAGTACTTAATCACATCAAAACAAATGAAATTCTTTTAAGTTTTGGTCACATTCCTGTCATGTGTTTTCTAATGTGCTACTATATTAAGTGGTACATGACTGAATCAAAAACCACAGAAAAACTACCCATCACAAGAACAGAACTTTATCATGAAGTAATCAAAGAATTTATCAAGAAACATTCCTCTTCTAAATACGAAAAAATGGAAGAAACTAAAGTACAAGAAATATTACATAAACTAGCTGAACTAGCGGTGAATTTAATGATGGAAGATAAATATATTTTCAACGAAAACGATATGAAAAAATTCAATCTAAACGATGAAGAAATAACAAACCTGAAAGCGAGTGGATTACTTGACTGTTGTCCTGGCGTTAAAAAATCTCCATTCGAGAAACCACCACTTGAATATACGTTCACCCACTTAACGATTCAAGAATTTCTTTGTGCTTTTTTGTTTGTAGAGAAAAAACAAATCCCAGAGAAAAAGAAAACGAGCGATGTGACATTCATGTTCATGGCGGGAATGTTTTCAAGAAAAAAAGATGAAAAAATGATGGAAAAGTTGATAGAATATATCAAACCAGGGAATAAATTGGATAAGAGGAATAAACGGCTAACTTTATCCTGTCTGGACGAGTACAAAGACGATGGATTTTCTACCAGAGTAATAAATAACCTTAAAGATCAAGGTTAGTACTTAGAATTTGATCCTTTTTTAACATCTTGGACAATCGTTCACATGTCTTTATCATTGCAAGCTCACCGTTCGTCTCGCTTCGATGCAAAGGCACGGCTACCTTTCAAGATGGCGCAGGGAACTGTGAAGGGGACTATTTAATGTATATCACGTATAGAATGCGACGCTTGTATAAGAAGTATTTTGTTGCACTGTGGATCGTAATCGACGATGTACACATTCCTGAAACCCATTGCATGGTTGGTTTTCGCACAGTGTTGAGCCAGAACGGAATTTCGGTCCAAAGTGAATACTGCTTTCTCATCTTGTTCTCGTCTTGAGGAAGCTTGCGGTCTGGTCGACGTGTATATCATACAATCATTGCATTTAATTTAGTAAACGATTCCTGTCTTGAGTTCTTTCTTTACTTGTTTATTTTTTCGACTACGATATGAGCTGTAAAATACCAATATTGAGGTGCTCTTTCTATTTCTGGGACCAGTTGCATAAAGCTCTCTTAAGATGAAAAAGCTTAAAAAAACCTCGTAAGTATTGTCTTAGTACAATGGGCTATTGTTTTGGAACAATACTTACGGATGCTCTTATCTTAAGAGAGCTTTATGCAACCGGGCCCAGGAGTTCATTTAACATGCGTAACTCCTTTTATCAAGAAGTTGTGCATAAATTATCTAAAGGTGTGGGCATGTTGTCAAATATAGTCGACCTTTCATATGTGAATGGCTTACCTTTTAAAATTACATTCTGATATTAATTCATTTCATGATGAAGCAGAAACAGAAGCAGACGCGGAAGCAGAAGCAGATACGACCTTCCCTCCTGAGATTCGTGCCAGTAGTCCTGAGTCCTTGGAAGCTTACAAAGAAGCCCTTATGAGGGGCAAAACAAAAAATAGGCGTGTGCTGGTAACAGTAGTTGGGCCACCCCGTGCAGGAAAGACAAGCCTGTTGAAATCTTTAAAAGGTAATGACAGATTACCATTGATTTTTTTCAAAGAGGGGATATCTTAGAAATAAGGCCTATTTAAAAAAGTGTACGTGGGATTTTGAAATAAAAATGAAGGAACAATTCTTATGATTCTGATGCTCAAGCTGCCGAGTGCCACCTTTGTCAATCAATGCAAAGTGATATTTAAAAAAATAATTATCTCTAAAGCCTTATTCACACTAGTGTCTTAATCGTAATCGTAATCATGATCGCAATCGTGAGAAGCGTTAAAACTCAGTCTAAGTCAAATATCGTAATCTTGAGCGCCGTCGTAAGGTGCATCGTAACAGAGTCGTAATCGTAAGCTAAGGTCAGAAGGTTTTATTTCCTTACGATTGCGATTACGATTGCAGTCACTTAACGATCGAGTGTGAACCAAGAAAATGTAATCGTGATCGTTATTGTAAGGATTGACCAATCACTACGCTTGTCACGATAATCATCATCATGAATATTTTGAAGCTGGCGGGAAAATAACAAGGAAGCGAGGCTTACGATTCTGCTTGCGTCGTTTCGATTTACACTAGAGCGTAACCTTCTTCGATTGCGACTACGATTACGATTACGTACTTACGACGCTAGTGTGAACAAGGCTTAAGGCTACTAGCTGATTATTTTGTAACCAGGCCTGCATGATAAAACTCAAACTTGTTAGCATTGAGCCCGTGCAGATCTGCAATGAAAATGCAGATATGCATAAAAAATGTAAATTGCTAATAGAATAATGTAAATTGCTAATAAGAGGTATTTTTTAAAAGGAAATGCATTTTCGGTTTTAAATTCCGGATGAAAATAGAAACCAATGAGAAAAATAGCGACCAGAAACAACAAACACTTGTCGATTTCAGTCACGGTATATGTCGAAAATACCCAATGTTCACGGCCTCCGTATGAACCCTAAATACAATAACCCAAACTGATTTTTGGATAAGTTCTAGAAGAACATCTAAATAGTTCATGACGTGAGTTTCATTGAGACAATACGTGGGGCACTTGATTATTAATTTTTAGCGTAGCAAGGGTCAGATCTATGTGTGAATACCACTCAATTCTAAATATCATCTGACCGCTTTCAATAAATAACTAAAACCGTTATTTTATCCTCAATCAAATCTCAAACATCTCTTCTATCAATTTATAAACATATAGTTTTCATATCTTTTTCCTATTCTGCATGCTATAGCTGTTTTTGGACCTGTTTGATTCAAATGAAAATTTGCATTCTTATGTCGCCGCTAGGCCAAAAGAATTTTTAGCGGTTTTTTGAAAAAACAAACTACACCACATTTGTTTACTCGGTACTGCCTTCCAGCAAACCAAAAAATATGTAAGATTGTTGTCTTTATCAGGGCGTAGCAGTGAAAAGAGAAGTAAACACATTTCTAAACGAATTTGTGCCGCTTATTGTTATTTGTCCATTATAGTTCCAGAAATAAACTCATTTATTTTGTCAGACACATCGAGTCTTGTACGTCAAGATTCTTGTAATTCGTGTAATTCAAAATGGAAAATATATTAAAACTAGTCACATCAGTAACGCAACTCTGTTAATCCAGTCTCATTCCACTTCACTTCACTGGTTTGGATGTTAAAAAACACTTTACAGTGCACTTACTGTAACCGGGGCCAATTCGACGGTTAGGCAAGAGAATCAATTAAAATAAGGAATAGAAAAAATACATTCCAATTTTGGGTAGTAGAGGCAATCACAAACCTGGACTGCACCTAAAATTGTAATTTGACCCTGATGTTACGAGTAAACGACTATTGGCTCTCACAGTTGCCCCGGCACTGTAAGTGTACATGAGAAGGATAAAAGGTTATTTTTAAGTTTTTATTTAATTCAGACGAGCTCAAACTATAATGGTCGGGCAGAAAAACACATCTAAAGTGCTCCAAAGTACCTCTTCCCTCAAATAGCGGTACATAACAAAAACTAGATGTTAATTAAGCTCCAGCATACCAGCATACCTTGTTAAATAAAAAATGTGTTCTGTTCACACGGAACCGGATCCAAATTTTCACTGCTAGGCGTACGATATTTTCGTTCGAATAGCTCAGTCCCGTGTGAACGAAACCCCTAAACGTACAACCTTTTGACCCCTTTTAAGAATTCGTCCGGTACCGTGTTAATGCAGCTTAAGGCTGAGCCTTGCTAATATTTCCGATTTTTTTAAGGAGAGGACTTCGATCCTAATGAAGACAGCACTACTGGAGTTGTACTTCAGAATTCTTGGTTTGAGAAAGTTGATGGCGAAGATAATTTTTCAATGATCCGCATCGCTGAATGTACGGTTGAGTATCTCAAAAAAAAACTGACAAGAGAAGACAAAGACCCAGAAGATGAAGAACAAGAATTTGGAGACTCAAATAGCGGTACATAATAAAAACTAGGTGTTAAATAAGCTCCAGCACATTAGGCAACCCAGTGCACACCCCAAGAGCATCTTGTTGAATAAGAAATGTGTTCTGTTTACACAGAACCGGATCCAAATGTTCACTGCTAGGCGAAGCGTACGATATTTTCGTTCGAATAGCTCAGTCCCGTGTGAACGAAACCCCTAAACGTACAACCTTTTGACCCCTTTTAAAAATTCGTCCGGTACCGTGTAAATGCAGGTTAAGGCTGAGCCTTGCTAATATTTCCGATCTTTTTAAGGAGAGGACTTCAATCCTAATGAAGACAGCACTACTGGAGTCGTACTTCAGAATTCTCGGTTTGAGGAAGTTTATGGCAAAGATGATTTTTCAATGATTCGAAGCGATGAATGTATGGCTGAAAAACGCAAAAATAATCAGACAGAAGGCAAAGCTGTTGCTGAACCTAAGCACCCAAGTCAAAGAGACCCAGAAGATGAAGAACAAGAATTTGAAGACTCAGTAATGGGAAATACCAGTTTACGACTATCAATTTTAACTGATGGTTCGAAAGTTCCAAAAGAAATGGTACCTTTATTATACAAACGCCTCAGGGACACTAAGAACGACCAGAGAGCGAACGAAAACGAAATTTCCTTTAAAACACTTGATTTTGCTGGACAACAAGTCTATGAAGTCATTCTCCCGTTATTTATATCTTCAAAGTCAATCTACTTATTGGTTCATAGCTTAGAAAATGACCTTCGTTCTGATGCGCAACCAAAAGTAAAACATGGCAACTCAGAAAGAAAACTCAAGAATCCCTTTCAAATGACATATTTGGACGCTCAAGAGTTTTGGCTTTCTTGTATTTCATCGTATACAACCTTGAAAAAGGAAGTTGACTCTGTTGACTACAGTACCCAAGTGGCATTGCCACCAGTATTTGTAGTTTGCACTCATGCAGATGTTTGTATTCAAGACCCGAAGAAAGTTGCTCGAGAATTGTGTGAGGTTTTGACTCGCCCCGAAAAGACCTATGGCAAGCACGTTGTACCAACTGTCTACACCGTTAATAACAAATTATCAGGAAACAAAGAAGTACAGGATGAATCTGCCAAAAGATTGAAGATGGATGTTGAAGAACTATCTAAATTGCTTCCCCAGGTTAATGAAGATATTCCAATCAGCTGGCTGCGATTTGAGGAGGAGCTTTCAAGACTTCAAGAGCAGAAGAAGTACGTTAATTTGGAAGAAGCTAAGGGGATCGCTACCCAATGCAACGTCAACACAGCCACAGAATCCATCGAGTTTACGACACTGTTAAACTACCTGCATGACTTAAAGACAATCATTTACTTTGAAGAAACAGGAAAAGTATTCATCGATACACAGTGGTTGGTCGATATGTTTGTTAAGGTCATCACAGTCATGCCATTTGAAGAATGGAAGGCGTATGCCGCTTATTGGAGAAAACTGGAAAACGATGGTATTTTACAAAGAGCTCTAGTAGAGCATGTTTGGAGTGACATAGCAAGTGATGGCCAAAATACAGTTGACAATTTGCTTACGATAATGGAAAAGTTCTCACTGATTTGTACGTGGAGGCTGAATGTAGAAGACGTGTACCTTGTTCCTTGCATGTTGTGTAACAGCAAGGGAACTGAGGACATCGAAAAGCTGCTGGCTGACCAGAAATCTTCAACAATGCTCATTCGTTTCAAGAGTGTTCACCTGCCCATGGGCATCTTTCCAAGGTTGTTTGTAGCTCTTGCTGAACATGGCAAAAAGGAATGGCCAAAAGTAAGCCAAGGCAAGAAGGAATGTCTACCAAAGCTTCGTCGGAACTTTTGCAGGTATGTTTAATACAATTCATTTATTTTTGTAGAAATACATGATAAGTATTTTCGTTTGCTTTCGTCACGTCTGGGTGTTTGCATTCTTTATTTGCTTGTTTGCTTTCGTACTTATTCATTGGCATTGTTCGTCCTTTGCCTGGTGGCATGGATAAAAGATAGAGTTTATTGGGGGTTCATTCCTTGGCTTTGTGGAAATTCCAGCATCACGTGTCAGGCAATTCTCTTCCTTGTCACCAAGCTATTTCTACAATTTTTCTCCATTGTCGCGTAGCCTGGAACTTCGCTCTGTGATTCTCCCACGTTATGATGATGCAACAACAACTTAAAGATAATTACTTTGTCTGATTAATTCTTTGCTTGTATCATCTTATGATGCTTCATTTGTTAGGATGTTCAACGTTGGACAAGAAGGAAATCTTGACATATGTCTTACCTCAGGGGTTCGAACCATATGCGTGACCGTCTACAACAAGAAAAACATTGATGGCGCACCAGTAACTAAGTTCTGTCAGTCCTTGCGAAAATTGCTTGATAAAATCTTTGCCGCCATGGAAAACACGTGTCCTCGAGTGGAAAACATGGAATTGGAGTATGGCATTCGTTGTTCAGTCTGTACAAAGTTGGAATGCAGCTCTCACGAGACCAAGGGATGTAAAA